CATTGAGCAAGTACGAGATTTGCGCCTGCCTTCCTGGAGAACTTATTGACGACCCACCTGGATTGGCACCTATCGACCCCGACCAAGACATGGAGCCTCCAAGGATGACGCCAGCATCAGCACCCTCGGCCAGGCCGGGGGAAACCCCTGCTGGCCGTACATCCGCAGAGGACGCCTTGGACGAGCAAATAGTACGTGCTATGATCCAGGAGACCAATCACAAAGCAGATGATAAAGAATGGTTGATTGCATTATCACATTGTCGTGAAGCTCTTCGACCAATCACAGCAAAGATCATGCAAAAAGATTGGGATCGTCGTCCTGCATTTAACGATGTTCGAATGGGCGACTTCATTGTCATTAAGAATTGGGGTTCTACCAAATGCTTCCACTACGACAACCATTGGCCCAAAGGCAATCACAATACCAAGATTGCCTTGTCCAAGGGACACATATATGGTCCAATCATCCATTTCGGCATCTTCGACAAGTTCTTTGCGGTACAAGTACCTATTCTCAACTACGGTTTACGATGGGTAAATATCTGGTATAATGACAAAAGCATGCCCCTCAAGGGCGTTGTATTTGCATTGCCGATTCGTATCGAAGAACACGCCATCGATCCTACATGGATGGAGACTGCCCTGAAAGGCCCGACATCTTGCAGCGAGGAGATACTGCAGCACAAGGTTAGCGGTAGCTTACCATACCTTGGAATGCCTAGCATACATAGACCACGTATTCCGCGTACACCACCAAGAAGGCCCGCTCCACGGACACCTGATCCAGACGAGCTGGTGGCCACACCTGCCGAGGACAACGCTCAGACGGGCGACATTCCTCGACAGGGTACAGCATTATCGCATGATCCACTGATCACCGTAATCGTGGACATATCAAATATCGTTCTTACTGCAGATGAGAAAGCTGCGAACGACAACATGAGGGCAGACCTCTCGGCAGACATCCAAGCAGAAGAGCAGATCGAGGCAAGCATCCTCGATAACATCATTGATCCGCCATCGAATTTCCTTGATCATCCAGACTACGACCCCGACGAGGATTCAAGATGGATTAGACAGTCTGATGATTGCCGCGTGTATTGTTGGACATCGGCGTTATTGGTGGATTCGCCTATGATCAAGATGAGGCAGATCATTGAGATACACAGTGGCGCAGACAGAATCGTAATGGACAAAATTCAGTCACATTTACAATTTGAAATTCGATTTGGATCGAAAGCATGGAACGCGGAGTCATATCATTTGAACTACAATCATACCCACAAGTGGGCGCATGACTTACCCAATTGTGGTGCAGATCACTTCTTCAAAAAGTTGGTACACTACCTCGACCCAGAGACTATCGAGGAGTCGACCACTGGCATCTTTCAATGGATTTCCAAAGTATACCAGAACATCTTGAAAGATAGTATTGTGGAGCTACCAGATTTCGCCAAGGAAGTCATCCATGACAACCATCCTGCACTTCAGGCATTGCGTGACCTATACAAAAATTGTACTGCGACATACGGTGATCCAGAGTTTCCCGTGTGGGAAGAGCTGGTGGAAACACCTGCTGCGCCTCGAGAGGAAGGCGCCGAGCAGGATATTCCCCAGGACCCAGGCAGTGTTGCGTCTGCAGCTCCCGATCAGGAGACTATGGTACGTATCATAGCCGAGCAGACGGGACTCAAGCGCGAGGAGGGCGACAACGAGGCCACCTTGCAGAAGCAGGCTCGCCGTCTTCGTGAGGAGAACGTATGCCATGGCGGTACTGAGGATACCGACAACGTCAAGATAGAGTACAAAGGACTGCCAGGGGAAAGGTTGTCTCGGATCGAGATCGAGGGTTTAAGCAGATCGATCGCTTCCAGACCAAACACCGAGATCAATCGTGAGGCGATCAATCAGATCGGTCAGAGCCTCGCTCGCGGTCAGGACACCCGCTGGGGATCCCGCGATCACCTGACTTCGGCAGGGGCCCCCGAGACGATCTTGCATCCCATACCGCTCTGTAACAATTGCGGTCGAGATCTGTCCCTCGGTATCGTCACAGGTGACGGCACACTCTGTGATATATGTTGGCAATACACTGTGGCCGTAGGCGCCACAGGTAAGAGCACCGCCACACAGAGTGACCTCGCGTACCTCCAGAAGTTGACGAACTGGATCAAGACGACGTTGTCCGAGGACCAGGTCGCGAGATACATGAAGGATGGCGCACATGTCATTATGACGGGTGCGCGATCCCCCATAGGCGCAGAGAAAGATCAGTTGCGGAGATTGGCCAATACGTCCAAGAAGAGGTATCAGAAGTGGGTCGAAGCCGGTAGCCCGCCTGCACACGAATGCAGATTAATGGGCGAATCCGAGGACGACCGACCTCTGTACTACCCATACGCCAATCTCATTCAACGCTTTCTCAACGACCTCAGATTCCATCATCAGATGACAGGAGCCCGCGTGAATGTCGGCAAGAAGCCCTGGAGAGTCGAGGACATGCGCGACGCGTGGGACATCCTTGACGTCAGTATTAGGACAGGACAGGCTGGTCGGAGAAAGTGGTGGCTGAACGAGGGACGCATTGACAGGCAGACGCGGCAGGCGCGCGGACTGATTACGGTTTCTCTCCCTCGAGGGGACGGAACCCGTGAACAGTTCACCCAGCGCAAGCTTGCCGCGATTGCCAACGAGCTGATAGGCTCCCTCGATCCGTCACACACTGACCAGAGGGGGGGTAGTACAGGGATGAGAACCGATCCAGATACACACTCCCAACAGTCCGATGACGCCATGGAGCCGCGGCCGCCGCCGCGGCCGCCGCCGCGCCCTGCTCCTGGCGACGCCGCTGCATCCAGCGCCTCAGGCGCAGAGGACTACATGCCCGCGATGCCGCGCGCCAAGAGAGCACGTACATCTGATTACGCTGCTTACTGGCGCCACAATCTCGAGGACAGCGATTGGGGTCTTCGATACTGGAGTTATTACATCAAATGTTGGATCTACATTGCGATCAACAACGACGAGTATGTGTACATCCAGGATATCACGTACAACGATTGGTTCCGCAACTGGATCCCGAGGACCACTTGGGAAACGTTTACGACAAGCTATGTGACGTACAACGGCCAGAGGGTGTGGGACCGCAGGTTCTACAAGGACGGCGACGCGTAGTGAGTCGGCCGCAAGGCCCACTGCTCAAGTGCAGAACTTCCGTTCATCAAAGTTCGCCTTGAGCGGTGGCTAATACATTCTTTTAGGCCACTTCAATCTTTCACACAAGTGGCCATACACACATATAGATATCTTTTGCGATCACCGAGGCAGCCTCCTAAGGAGCAACGCCAACGGGAGTCGCCAAACAGATTTTATACATCATTTTCGTGTTCATCAACACGACATTTTCTCCTGGCCAGGTACTTGCTTTAACGCAGATTTGCATTTCTTTCAGGATCGTGTTCGTCAACACGATCTGGGCATACATTTGCTTTTAGGCAGACTTGTGTTTGATTTCAAGATTGTGTTCATCAACGCGATCTTAGCATGCATATTTTAACAATTTAACAATATTGCGTCGAGAATAATCTGATGGCTGGTGGCAACACCTGCCTCGCAAATCTTGCGAGGCGGTTTACGTTGCCTTGATGCTCAGATCTTCTTTCTCCGCCTACCTTTGTCTCATTCTTCTCCTCCCTCGAGTGCCGAAGCGTTTTGGGGGGCGCACCGAGGGGGCGGCAAAGACCGCCTGGAGAAGAAAAAGAGACCCAAGGTATCTCTTCTTACCTGACTTTGCAGCTGTGGCTTCGCTGACTTTTAGCCCAGCTGCCTTTTCAGACTTAAGGTAAAGGAGTTCTGAGGTTACGGATTCCATCCTCTTGATCCCGAGTCCTGCCTTCTCGGGCGGGATTCGGGACGGGGTGTGTGTATGGAACCCGTGTAATACCTTCATATATACTCCTTATCCTTACCTCTCCCGCACCTGGCCGTTTGGGCTCAGGTACTGAGTTGGTGCGATCGTACCTTGATCGCTAGGGAGGGAAAGATATCCATCTATCCCTCCATCTCTCTACCAACGGATCAGGGGTTCTGTACTCTTGTACTTCAACCCCATACACACGTGCGGGTCAACGGCGCACTATTCATGCCGATGATCTACGCCGTGTCCGCGTCCACGATCGAGAGCGTGCCTGGATGGCCTTTCCAGGGAGAGCGGCTCGTCCCCGAGTTTGTGGCCTCGCTCCGTGGCGCGGGTTACGAGTGGATGTCCCGCCACCTGGACTTCGTGCGCAAGAGTGGGATCGGGCGCCAGTCTGGACTTGCCCGCGCCCATCGCAGGATCTCCGAGGTGATGACTCACATGCAGTGCTTCGACCAGCTGAATGTGTACAACTTGGCGTCCGCGGAACTTCTGACGCGGTACCTCCACCAGATCGAGAGCGCGGTTCGCAAGAACCCGAAGAACCCCGACATGAGTGGCATGGACATGCTACTGTCGTCGGGGATCGACGAGAACGGGGGCATCATCACGACCAAGTACCAGCACTGGGTCAGTACCGTGCAGCGAGACCGCGCCCAGACGATGAAGCAGGAGCGCCTGTGCGCCGAGGAGCAGGGCCACGCCGCCGCCCGCGGCCGCGGGGCTGGCTTTGGCGGCGGCTACGCTTCTCAGGGCGCAGGCGCAGGCCGGGGCGGTGGAGGTCGAGGCGGCGGCCGCGGAGGCGGCCGAGGCCGGGGGCGCGACGCGGCTCCAGGCAACGACGGCGGATAGCCCCTCGCGGGGCTACGGCCGCGGGGATAGCCCGCCCGCGCCAGACATCGCCCTGGCGCAGGCGACGTCGTGGCCCCCGCGGCCTTCGCAGGCGACTTCGCGCCCGTCCTCGGCGAGGTGTTCATCGACCAGGACGGCGTCAGCACGACCCCTTCCCCTTGTCGACTGCTGGCAAGGCGGGTTCCCGCCAGGGGCGCGCTTCCGCCTCGGCGGTGAGGGGAGCCAACGAGTGCTCGCAGGCCTTGAACGCGCTCAACGGCTCCTCCAAGGCTCCCTGGGGGTCATTCGCACCCAAAGATGTCGTGGCTTCCGGGCCTCAGCGTGACATCCTTCAGCGGCTCCAGCGTCGGGTGGCCCGCCATGGCTCGCGGCCGCCCACTGCCGCTCAACAGGCTTATCTTGACTTGATCAAGAGCAAGGACCTGTACTCCTCCGAGAACGCCAACCTGGTGCCCTATGACTCCTCGAAGCTCGCAGTGCTTCGCGGCTCTGTTGAGCCCAGCCCTCTGCGACCTCGGCTTCCTCCCGAGGCTCGCCAGATCCTGGGCAACAAGAGGCGAGCCATCTACCGGTCCGCCGCGGACATCGACCAGCTCGTGGATGCTGGCGAGATCCCGCAGATTCGGCCGCGCTGGGACCTCAGCTGGCGCTTCAACGCGGCCAAGAGGAGGGACTTCATCCGCGCGCTGCATCGCTGCGGGCTCGTCTCCTTCAGGCGCAGCATAGCCTACCGCGTCGGGTGCTTCTTCGTGGCCAAGAAGAACGGCGACATCCGCCTCGTGATTGACGGTCGGGAGCCCAGCGCCTTCCACCAGCGGCCACCCCATGTAGAACTGGGATCAGCTGGCGCCCTCAGCTTCCTCGACCTCTCCGACGACGCCCTGAGCTTTGATGGCGTTGACACCGCGTCGATCGACCTCTCCATCAGCAGAGTTGACTTGAAGGGCGGCTTCTATCAGCTTGGATCAGGACCTGGCCTCGAACTTCGGCTTCGACTTCCCCGAGGAGGCGAGCTGGCACGGGCGCGCCCACGTGTGCAACGAGTCCTCGCGGTCCTTCGAGAGCGTAAGCGGGGGCTCCCGCGTCTACCCCGTCTTCTGCGGCCTGCCGATGGGCTGGTCCTGGAGCCTCTACTTCTGCCAGCAGGTGCTCAGCAGCGCCCTGGGGGATGCCGTGGGCCTTGATGCAGGGCCTCGTCTCCTACGTGAAGGGCGCCCACAGCCTGCGCTGGCCCTTGGCCACCCGCTCATCGCGCCCTGCGTCAACAATGAGGCCTTCATTGGCATGACGTCTGCGGCTGCCGGTGCCGGGCTCGCCTCGGCGCTCGACGCGCTACGTGAACGGCGTCTGGCATATCGCGAGGTTGTGGAGCCGACCGACGTCGCCGAGACCGTCGGGATCGTCATCGACTTCAGTGACGGGCAGCGGGTCGTACGCCACCGCAAGGAGCGAGCCTGGCGGCTTTACCTGGCGCTGGAGTGCCTGATCCGTCGTGGTGTGGCCTCAGGCCATGCGATGAGGCGCGTCGCCGGGCACGTCGTGAACCACTTCATGCTGGCCCGCTGCGCCCTGGCCGCGCTGGGCCACGTCTGCGGCTTCATCATGAACTACGGGCCCCAGACTGGCCGATTCACTCCAGCTCTCACGACCGAGCTCCGCACCATCAAGGGGCTCGTCTTTCTGTGCGAGGTGGGCCTCGGAGCTCCATGGAGCCGCGTGGCCTTCGCGTCGGGCTCCTCCATGCAGGGGCATGCCCTCCACCTGGCGGCGGTGGGCCCCAGCGAAGCCGTGCAGGCCGCTCGCTTCAAGGAGCGTTGGAGGTTCAGCGAGGTGGACTTTGGCTACGGGCACGATGACGACTCGGAGGTCCCCATGACATCCGCCGACTGGTGCCCAGCGGTGTGCCATCTCGCCGATCACCTGGACGCGGCCCCCTTGCATGACGGTGGTCGCAGCACTGCGGCCTGGAGGCCGCGCGCGCCCCGGGTCAGCCTTGACCGCGGGCCTGGGGCCATCCCTCCACTTGAGGATGCGCTCCTCGCTGCCGACCGCTGGCACAGGGTCGTCCGCGGGGCCTGGCAGTCTGACGCCGCCATTCACGAGAAGGGGTCCGCCGTGCAGCTGCTGGGCCTGCGCTTTGTTGGGCGCGACCCCAGCTTCTACGGCAAGAAGTTGCTTTCGCTGGGGGGCACCATGGGCGCCGTGCTCAGCTTCGAAAAGGGCCGCGCCAAGTCGTGGGCGCTACGACGGAACTGCCGCGTGGCCGCCTCCTACCAGCTCGCGCGCGAGATCTCCTGGCGGCAGCGGTACGCTGAATCGGCCCGCAACCCGACCGACGCGGACAGCCGCTTGGCCGACGCTGGCCTGCTCTGGCCTGGCGCCGTGCGGCGCGGATGCGCCCGCGCCCTAGACAAGATCGTGGAGGGCGACCGGGTGCTGCTGGATCCGCCGCGCAGCCGGGCGGGCGCGCCGCCCCAAGTCGACTCACCGATGGCCAGGGCCGGCCGGCCCCGCCAGCACCGGCGCGAGCTCGCGCCACCTCTGGGGCGGACTGCCAGCCTGACCCGCCAGCAGTGCTTTATGAGGCCGGCGCGCGTTGGGCGCGCTGCGCGCGGCCGGCCGCCGCGCGACATAAGCCGCTACGCCCCTCCTGTCCCCCTATCACATGAAGGCCTCCGGAGTCCACAGCCCAGCCCCGCTCCACCTCAGCCTCGCCCACGTCCGCGACGGGCTATGCTAGAGGTGTTCGCCGGCTGCGGGCGGCTGTCGGCGGCCGGCCTCAGTGTAGGGCTGCGCGTCGCCGCCCCAGTGGACAGCGCTAGGGGACTACATATGGGCGTTCTGGATGGCCGTGTCTTCGCCGTGTTGAAAAGATGGGTTACCAGCGAGAGGATTTGGTACGTTCATCTCGGCACGCCCCGTGCATTTTGGAGTCAAGCTACTAGTATCTCTCGAGGAAAGCACGCGCGAACAGGGCAGCTGTGCGCTGCCCGAACCTTAACGCTTCTGCATCTCTGTTGTCGCTATAATGTACGTTGGTCTTTGGGGAACCCCGCGTCGTCTCGGATCTGGAAGTGGGCTCCTCTACAACAGTTTCTCTCAGAGCATTGTCGAGTCACTACCCGGTATGATTGCTGTGCGTGTGGTTGCATTTACGTCGAGCCTACAGTTAGTGTCACCGACATCGACGATCTGTTGCTGTTGTCGCGCCGCTGCCAAGGGGGTCACCGTCATGAGCATCTCCAGGGTGAAGTCGTTTATTCACGCTACCTCGCCTTCAGCATCAGCTAATGCCTCACCTAACCCAGGGGCCGCGATTTGGAAAACCGCATTGGCTTGTAAATGCCCCCTAGTCTGTGTCGCCAATGGGCTCTGATTCTGGCATCGCTAGCTCCGCGAGGGGCCTCCGTGCGGGATGGCCGCGGTGCGCTGTCCAGCCACTGGGAAGTGGAGTTGGCGGGCGTCTGCAAGCTCGAGCTCCAGCAGCCGCCTCGCGCCGACAGCCTCACGTGCCCCCGTGGCTCGCCGCCGGAGTGGCCGGCCTCAGCCAAACAGTGGGGCGCCGGCTGGGGGCCGTGGCCCCCTCCCAGAGCTGGCTGCACAGAGGAGGCGTCCGCCCGGGCCCACCATCGCCAAGCTGCGTCGACAGGCAGCCGGGGGCGCCCCTCGCCCAGCAGGCTACCTGCGAGCACAGTGCGTGCCACCTGCCACGCAGAGCCGCTACCAGATCGCCTACCAGAAGTTCCTGAGCTTCGCAGGCGATCACGGGCTCAGCACCCAGGCGGGGATCACCTGTGGTTCGACGGCCGAGGCATTTGCGATGCGCGGATGGCCGTCTACGGGGTCGCCTACGTGCAGCGCTGCAGCCTGAAGGACCCCGCGGTACTGCAACTCGCTCGGGCTGCGCTGCGCGGCAGGCATAAGCGGATGGGAGATGTTTCCCGCGATCCCATGCCACGGCAGGCCCTCTTTCTCGCCTGCAACTGGCTGTGCGACACTGGCGACCGCTCAGACCTCAGCGCCGCCCAGGCCCTCGTGGCCCAGTTCGACGGCTACCTGCGCCCGGGCGAGATCTGCCAGGTCACCGCGAACGACGTCAAGGTTGCCCCTTCGAGCCTGCGAGGTGCTGGATACCCCCTCGCCACCATCATGATCGCTCAGTCCTCGGAGGGCGACGATGATGGGGCTTCGCGGCGGCCCGCAACCAAGACAGGGGAGCAGGGCGACGCTGTGGTCTTCGGAGATTCGGCCCCCCAGAAGGCCGGCCGCGGCGAGGTGGCCCGCCTCCTTGGCAAGCTGAAGGCTTCAAAGCAGGGTAGGTGCACTCCCCTTTTTGGGCTCAGCTTGGCGGAGTACGAGCGCCGCTGTAAGGCCACCTCTGACGCCTGCAGCCTCAGCGCCCTTCGTCTCCCACCGCACATGGCACGGCATGGCGGCCCGTCCACCGACGCGATGCTCGCGGCCGTTGGAAGGCCAGAAATAATGTCCTTCGTTCTATGAAACAAGGTCGGTTGATGCGACAGATCGGCAAAATGACGCCGAGTCAATTGCAGAAGTCTAAGACCGTCTCCACTAGTCTGTTCTCCAAGCTTCTTCGCTTCTGAAGGCTCGTGCCCTCCCTCCCTTGTCCCTGCGCGCTCGCCGAACCATTATTATGGGATACGGGAGCTGGCCGACAGTTGCGATCTTCCGTGCTTCAGCCTGAGGAATGTCGTGGAACAGCTGACTTGGGCATGGGTTTTCCGACACTTGCGATCTTCCGTGCTTCAGCTTGATCTCTGCCGGCCAGTTTGAGAATTTCAAAGCCCGTGGCGTCGTCCTGTTTCAGTTCGTTGCCCGCTGGCCAGTGTGAATTCCGAGGGTCTCGAGACCACGGTTGCCGTGCTTTGAGAACGCGTTTGCTGGCTGCTGCTTCCTCGTTTGCGAGTCAAAAAGTGAAGGCCTGTGGACCTCCTTTGGGGCTGGGTTGGGCTCCGGGCTCCCCGCTGGCCTCGCCTGTCGCTATCCAGTAGCCTGCCGGCCTTCCGCCCTTCCGCGTACTGTGCCGAAGGGTTGTGGGGCAATGGTAATTGTTGCCAGCCTGTTGCAAACCTTTTTACGGCAAATGCTCACGTAGCGCATTGCTAGGGCGGGAGTCCCATTCTGACGCGGAGCCGTCGTCCATCTTTGTAACTGTTGCAAGCTTTTCAGGCAAATGTGCGCCTTGCGCACTGCCAGGGCGTAGGGCCCCATTTTGGAACGGAGCCGTCGTACATCTTTGTAAGTGTGGCAGGCGTTTAGGGCCAATGTGCGCACTGCGCACTGCTAGGAGCGTGTTCTTTTACTGCTTGGGGCATAATGGGCATTCTAGCCCCTGGCCCCCCCCACTATAACGTAACGCCCCTCCCCCCCAGTGCGCTCCGGGCACTGCCGCCGTGCGCATCCGGATCTTCATCGGCGTCCACATACAAATCCGCATATAAGCCTGGTCCGCATTGGGATTCTCATGGGGATCCGCATAGAGGAGGAGGAGGAGGAGGAGGAGGAGGAGGAGGAGGAGGAGGAGGAGGAGGAGGAGGAGGAGGGGGAGAGGAGGGGGAGGAGGAGGAGGAGGGAGGAGGAGGAGGGGGAGGAGGAGGAGGAGGAGGAGGAGGAGGAGGAGGAGGAGGTGGAGGTGGCGGAGGAGGGAGGAGGGAAGAACGTCGCATTATATTAGCACTTATCTGGCGTGGCGCTTAGCTGTCCGCAGCAAATCCTCACCTACATGCTCGTTCTACCTGTCCTGTGTATGCAGGCGCTGTGGTGTACACCAGCGCTGCGTGCACGCGGATGCTGTGGTGTAGACAGGCGGTGCGGTGTGCACAGGCGCTGCGGTGCACGTAAGCATTGTGGTGTACACAGGCGTTATGTTGCACATCGTTGCTGCGGTGTTGCACATTCGCTGTGGTGTACACGGGCGCTGTGGTGCACGCAAGCACTGTGGCGTACACCGGGGCTGCGTCGCACACGGCTGTTGCGGTGTACGCAGGCACTGTGGTGTACACGCGCGCTGTGGTGCACGCGAGCATTGTGGTGTCGACATGCGCTGTGGTGTGCACAAGCGCTGCGGTGCACGCAAGCATTGGTGTACGCAGGCGCTGTGTTGCACATCGTTGCTGCGGTGTTGCACATTCGGTGTGGTGTACACAGGCGCTGTGGTGCACGCCAGCACTGTGGTATACACAGGGGCAGCGTCGCACAATGCTGTTGCGGTGTACGCAGGCACTGGTGTACACGCGCGTTGTGGTGCACGCGAGCATTGTGGTGTACACAGGTGCTCTGGACAGGTCTCTACCTATATGCTGCTCGCGTCGTCGTCGTCGTCGTCGTCGTCGTCGCTCGTCGCTCATTGTCGTCGTGCGCGCGGGCGCGGCTGTGGTGCCAGAGCCAAACGGCGGGGGGGGGCGTTACATGACCCCCCCCCCTCCCCCACCCTATAACGCCCATTATTGCAAAAAATACGCGCTCTAGGGCGAGGCGCCCCATTTCTGAAGTGGCCTGTAGCGGGTGGAGGCTTCTACGGCGAATGTGTGTGGCGTGAATGTGGACGCCTCATGTTGAGAAAACGACCCGTGCTCCACTCGTAATTGTTACAATCCTTCAGCTTTCATGACGAACTTGTGCGGTGCGAAGGCGAGAGCCCCATGTTGAAAACAACACGTGTTCCGTTCTTGAGCCTGCTGCAGGCTTTGAGATGAACGTGCCCAGCGCTCAGGCGAGAGCCTCGTGCTGGGAGCCTTGAGACGGGGGTCAATGTAAAGGGGGGTCTGCCAGAGCGCCGGCTCGTGCAGGATCGTGCAGAACCAGGGTCGCATTGACCCGGGCTTGGGTGCAGGATCCTGCAGGATCCTGCAAGGCCCGACGGACCTGGGTTCGGATTGACCTGGGTCAATAGATCCCCGACCATATTGAAAATTTCTTGTGCTCCATTCTTGTAAGTGTTTCGAAATTCACGATTCATGGCCCGAATGGCGAGGTGATCTCGGGAAGGGGGGGAGGAGGAGGGAGAAGGAGGAAGAGGAGGAGGAGAAGGAGGAGGAGGACCAGTGCAAACCCAAGATTCATCAACGATATTGCAATAAACCCTCCAAGTTTCCTCATCGCAGGCCCCTGCAAGGATTCATTTTTACTGATGAAAGTGCCCCGTTGGAGGACAAGCTCTAAAAGAATTGGAAGTGTGCCAGAAAACCAATACTGGGACTTGAACGTCGCGAGTCACCATTACTGTTGCGCGTCTGGACGATCCTGGAATCTTGCCAGAACAACATTCCTAGGACTTCAACACCGCGAATCAACGTGATTGCTGCGCCCTGACAGTCCGACATCGTGTCCAAATACCATTTCTGGGACGTCAACCACGAGAATCCTTGAAACTGCTGCCAACTCTCAAGACGAATGTGAGCGGCGCTTTGGCGAGAGCCACACTTTGAAAGGGGAACCGCCTTCCATCCGTGAAGCTC